GAAAAGTTACATTTCTTCTTATATAGTTCTTGCTTTATCTTGGTCTTAACCATCCAGCAGAAAAGTATAAAAACAAGGTATAAAAAGTAAAGCCATGTTAATATGCTGAGGTATAAAGACTCAAGTCAACAACTTCTGACATTGCCAGTTCTACAGATAACCCGCTACTATTATGGACTACTGGACTATGTTGGATTATTTTGCTGAATTCACGCACCTACAATATTTAAATGGCAGTGGAATCTCTGACAAAACTAAACAAAAAAGGAGATACAAATGAAGGGCCATTTTGTATCTGCATATACAAAATAGCATAGATATACAGCTACTTTCTCTTAATTCAATGATAAGAAAGATTTGTACTAATAGTGTTTGTGGACAGGATATCACATCTGCATCTTGTAGTATGAATAACCACTATGAAGACAACAATATGCAATGTATTAATTATTGAAACTATCCTACTAATCAGTTTTGAAACTGTCTCATTGCTATTTGTTTCTCAATAAAATTAATTTAAAAAAGGAGTTGATACCTGTATAAAACACAACTTAATTCTTTTTACATTCCCTTCCCTATCTTTCCTTTTCCTCCATCTCTGTCTCCTTCCTGTTTCCTATTATTTATCTTTACTTTCGCTTTTTAATTTATTTATACTTTGGTTTTCTAAGTTAAATGAAACACACACACTGGGTCCCTGATCCACTGTAGTTCTATAAGAGTTCCCATCAATCCCCTCCCATTTTCCTATAGCATTCAAGTTAAAGGATCAAGTTAAAATCAGTTACTTTTTTCAACCACACAGGATGAGCTATGTGATTTATGATGGATAATGCAAAATTAAATGAAATTAGATTAAAATGAAAAATTACTGAAATTGGCTCAAAAGCTATTGAGGATTTCCAAAGAAGGACAGCAGAACATTAAACCGAGGATGGAGCTCTTGACTCTGCACCATTCTTATGTCCACAATGCTGTTCTCGTAGGCAGAGTTTTTAAGCTAGATTTCTGAAACTTTACAAAAGAAATATGAGGTACGATTTAGTTATCATAGAAACAAGCACTTTTTAAGTGAAAAATCAGTTAAAGATGCTTATTTCTTCTATAAGAGCTTATTAAAATTGAAATATATAAATTATGGTACTTAGCTCCTTAAGTAGTATAAGCATTGTAAAATAAGAAAGCATGCTAATTTGCTGTAAATTAACTTTTCTGAAGCCAATTAGCCAAATGATCAATTTGCTGAATGACCAAGTTACAAAGTTAAGCAAATTGAGTGGTTGTAATTTAACTGAAATGTTTGCCAGATTTTAATATGACTTTTTAAATTTTCACTCCTGATAAAGGTAAATCTATCTATCTATCTATCTATCTATCTATCTATCTAGATACAGATAGATATATTACATGCATACATAACTTTGATTTTTTATTTTGGTTACTAATAGTGATAGATCATTGTATATTTCAAATACATGCACATATATTTTTAATATCACATTATTATGTATATTAATTATATACACATCCTTGTTAAAAAAATATGTATATAGTTTTAAGAAGACTAAGTCAATGGAAGTATGCTTATCTGGAGGGCAACAGAACATGGACAGACCAGGTGATGTTTCAGTTAAGCAGAAAAATAAAATGGGACACAGGACTAACCATATTACATACTGAACATTGCATGTCATTTGTTAGTTGATATGCTTTCTTAAAATCAATAAAGGGTGCTGGGGAGATAGCTGAGTGGTCTAAGCACCTGCCTGACAAGCACAAGGACCCAGGTTTGAACCCTAGTAATGCATGTTGTGCCTCAGGTGTGGGGGTGCTTTCCAATAATCCCAGCCCTGGGTAGGCTGAGACAGGAGGATCACTATGAATCCAAGCTGTGTAGCACGATCTTGTACCAAATAAATAAATAAATAAAGATTTAAGTTTAAAAACAATCAATGAAGGAATATTAGCTATGTTAAGTTTTGGCAAAAGAAAAATCAAGGTAGGTATGTTCTTAATCACTTTAGAGATACATCTAAAACTTAGAAAATTTTTTTTTTAATAAACCATATTGATTATTATATAAGAAAGCCTCCTTTTAAATTTTTTTCTATTTTATTTTATTTTTTTATTAATTTCATTGAGAAACAAATAGCAATGAGACAGTTTCAAAACCGATTAGTAGGACAGTTTCAATAATTAATACATTGCATATTGTTGTCTTCATAGTGGTTATTCATAGTACAAGATGCAGATGTGATATCCTGTCCACAAACACTATTAGTACAAATCTTTCTTATCATTGAATTAAGAGAAAGTAGCTGTATATCTATCCTAACTATAAAAGTTACATTTCTTGTTACATAGGTCTTGCTTTATCTTGGTCTTAACCATCCAGTAGAAAAGCATAAAAACGAGGTACAAAAAGTAAAGCCATATTTATATTATGAGCTGTGAAAGGCTCAAGTCAACAACTTCTGACTTTGCCAGTCCTACAGATAACCCACCACTATTATGGACTACTGGACTATATCGGATTATTTTGCTGAATTCACGCACCTACAATATTTGAATGGCAATGGAATACCCATCTCCGATAAATCTAAACAAAAAAAGGAGATACAAATGAAGGACCATTTTGTATCTGTATATACAAAGAAAGCCTCCTTAATTCAATGGATCTTCATTAGAAATCACAAAGTCAGTATATAACATGACACAGGTTTTTTCCTTTTTTATGTATTTTCAAAAAAATAGTTTAAACCTTTTAATATTTAAGTCACTTTAATATCTTTTATATAATGTAACTTATTCCTCATTTTCATTTTAATGTGTAACTTCAAAGCATCTGAAAAATTCAAAATTTTATAATGGCATTTAAATTACATTTTTGCACGTCATCCAAAATTTAATTTCAGTGAATTTTAATTTGAGAACATCAGAAGGAAATCAAAATGAGCTCAAATAATTCCATATAAAATTCCTTCATAAAATTTTGTTCTAGTATTAATAGTGAAACACACATATATCACATTAAATTAACTTAAACTGAGCACTTTTGATAATGTTAATGTGTTGTTCCTCATAAAGTTGCTAAGTATTGTTACTTAACATTACAATCTTTAAATCTAGTAAGTAATCATTGACAAATTGGTATTCAACAACTTGATTTTCTAAGTGTCCTACTTTTAGCTAGAAAAACAATAAAGAGACCCTGATGGAATAACAACTTTAAGGAAGAAAATGGCTGAGAAAAATATAAAATAGAAGAGATTCGAGAGGTGGGAAGAGACCTAAGACCATTTAGAGAAACAGAATTTGAAGAACAATGCTAGCAATTTCAGGAGGCCCTGCCTCAAAACAAAAATAAAATCTGTCTGGAGGTGCAGCTCTGTGAGAAGCCCTGGATTCAATCCATCCCTAGTACTGGAAAAGGACAAAGGAAAAGAAAAAGAAAAAGAAAAAGAAAAAGAAAAAGAAAAAGAAAAAGAAAAAGAAAAAGGTAAACTATGTCATATGCTACAGAGAGTTCCAAGGTAGGAAACGTCATTGACCTTTGGAGGCCAGCTGTTTCCAGTAGAGTGGTGAACTGGGAAGTCACTTTGCCAAAAATCATGAGATGAATATAATCGTCCAGACTGTACACAGCTTTTAACCCCAACTAGACAGAACAAAGAAACAAGGAACTATTCTTTTCTTCAGCAATTTTTCAAGTCTGTCTTCTATTTTTTTCTCTCTCTTCTTCCTCAGCTAGGATTGTCAGACTTAGTAAATACAAAAGCAGAAAGCTAAATTAAATTTGAATTTTAAATAAAACTATGAATAATTTTGGTATAAATATATCCTGAACACTGCACCGGTACACACTTATACCTAGAGAGACATTTGCATTTATCTTTCACACAAATCCATTTATTTTTTAGTGGGGCAGATTTAGCTGGATGGCCTGTTGTAATCTGTCAACTCCAATCCCAACCTCTACTCTCTACTGTTCCATCCTCCAGGAAGTATTTAGAACAAAGCTGGAAGACAGATGGATCCACAGAGTTCATAAATAAAGTAGGCAGATAGGAAAATGAAAGTATGCATGTCCAGAATTTAAAAGAAAACAACAGGGAGAGGGGAAAACAAAAAACCGAGAAAAACAGAAAACATCTAAGCGGGGGTACACGGCGAACTTCACCCTGCACCCTGGACCCGTGGCCCTTCTGCCCAAAGGGATTAGAGCCCTCACACCAGGACCGCAGGGATGTCAGCGCCAGGGCTCTGCGTGGGGCGGAAGATGATCACCGACGGGGCTGGCTTGGTTTTCCCGTGGCAGTGGCGCTAGGGGGTGTGTGTGTGTGTGTGTGTGTGTGTGTGTGTGTGTGTGTGTGTGTCCGCGCGCGTGCGCAGCCGGGGGCGGGGCCGAGGCTCCCAGCCCGCTGCACCTGCGGAGGCGCCGAGAGCACCCGGGCGCACCGGCTGGGCCATGGGACACCTGTGGCTCGCGGCGCTCTGGGGCCTCTGGGCGCTGCTCCTCTCCGCGGCGGATCCTCGCACAGGTACCCACACGGGGCGTCAGGGAGGCAAACGAGAGGTCCTGCGGGGACCACCTGAGCGCGACCCTGGGGCGATCCCGGGGACCCCAGTCTAAGAGGCGCGCAGCAGCGCAGAGAGATGTGGGGAGGATTCCCTTTAATTCACGAAAGTTGCTGTTTGAATTGTGGGATCTCCCTCCAAGTGACACCACCGGAGAGACTGAAATTTGCCTGGGGAAGAGGGGAAGTGGAGGAAGACAGCCTGCGCTCCCCGCTCCCCTCTGCCTCGCTTTCCTGGGGTTCTTTACTTCACCCAGTTGGACCCGCACTCTGGGGCGGGTGTCAGTCACTTGCAGGGGGCTGGTGCCCTGTGTCTTCAAAGTAACAGGCAGGAGAGGGCTGGGAGGAGACCGAGAAGATAAGAAATTGGAGTTGTCGGAGGCGATAAGAGGAAGATGAACTTGAGATAGGCGAGGCGCTGCTCCGTCTGGAGATGAGATCGGATCCAGCTCCCTCCCTCGGGCTCTCGGTCTTGGCTGCCTGGAGCCTGGGGTTTGAAAACCCTGGAACCCTTGGCTGGGTCAGCTCTAAGCACAGAGGCGCTGGGTCGGGAGGAGCGGGGCTGGTCTGCAGGCTGGGGAGCTTCTGCTATTTTGGGTCGAGTCGCACCTCACATATTTCAGGTAGGAACGAGTCGCTGCTGCCTCATTTCCTCCATCATGTCTCATACACACATTCCCTGCAATTCGTTTATGTTTCTCCCACTTAAATTTTTCTACCCTCTTCGAAAAATTGTTTTAGCAATTTTTAGAAAATTACCAGATCTGTAATCAGGTCTGTTTAGTCCAAAAATAAACATGTCTGATCCCTGAATTGTTTTAAAGAACTGCTAGCAGATTCCTGAAGACAGTTCCTTCCCCCCATATTTACACACAAACCCCGTGTTTGTATGTTCAGAATTTTCCTCGTGTTTCTTGAGGGAGGTTTGGTCAATTAATTTTTATTAACTCTTCAATATGCTACAAGAGCTGTATCTCTCTGAGAACTGGTGTGGCCACATTGTGTGAATGAAATGTCCCTCTAATTCTCCGCAGCCCTTCAATTACTCTGCACTGTTTAAACTAAACCTTTGGAAAGGTAAGACTGATAGGCATTTTGTGTCTCCAGAAAGTTCCAGTGAATTAGTGATCTTGACACTAAGAACTCAGCAGCATCAGAACACTAGAAAGAGCCCAGAATTTATCTTTGTTGTACTCCCAGCCACAGAAAACAATTTCTTCCTAAAATGTATCAATCAGTCTTCTCTGTACCAGGAATAATAGCCTTGCAGCCTCCCTAACAGTTACACTCCTTAGGTTATTCTATAATGATCTATTTCTCCATGTCACTGTTGCCATGTGGTTGCCTAAACATAACTATGGACCTAAAGTTAGCAGAGCATAACATGAAATTGTGGGTTTAATCAGCGTCTTATGATAGGTGAGACTGGCAAAAAGGATTATTCATTGTGCTCTTTCCATGAAGCCAAGGAGTATTAACTAAATTAATGACTTAAATCCATGTGAAGTCTATGGCTAGTAGAGCCCACATTAAGAGCTGGATATACTGTACTTTCAATTCTGTGTTTGATGTAGGGTAGAGGATGTGGTGCTTGAAACGACTAAGTCTGTGATTCTGTCCCACTATACTTTCATGTCTTTCAGATGGCTCTAAAATAATACCCAAAGTGACAGAAGTCATACCTAAATATGGCAGTGTGAATGGAGCAACGAGGCTGACTATCAAAGGAGAAGGTAGGGTTGCCTGAGTGTGTGTGTGTGTGTGTGTGTGTGTGTGTGTGGTGTCAAGGTAGAGGGATTTAAACAAAACACTGGCATAATATCAGCACTTGGCCAAGGCAGTAAAGCTCTTATACCTTTCACAACTGGTGAAGTCCTCCTCTCATCTGAATTCTTATTTTACTTACCTGTTTAACTCTAAGATCTGAATTTAACGACTGAATTGATGGGAACATCTTTAACACAAGTGTGCAGTTATGTGCCTCATTCTTCATTCTTCATGGAGCTAATAATAATTTGACTTATTTTTAGAATAAATAAGGCACTGTGAGGGCTCAAGGCAGAATGTTAATTAGAAAAGTGTAATGTAGAAATGCAATGGTAAATGAAAGAAGAAACGTGTCAGAAAGCAGAACTTTGGCTCTTGTTTCTCCTGGTGCCGAACTCCTATCTCATGCTTGGTCGATGAGTTAGGTATGATTCTCTTTCTTCTTGTCTGGTCTTCAGAGGGAAAACCAGAAAGCGATATCCTGGTTCTTCTTAGGATTCAATAGAAATAATTTGGTTCTGTAAAGCATGAATTCTTTGTAATATAAATGATAGTACCATTGAGATGTTTATAAATTTTTAAAAAATGTGAAAGAAATGTTTTTAGAAATTTTAACAAAATCTAAACAATAAAAAATAAAAAAAGAAATTTTAACAAAATCTATTATTTGTTCTTTAAAGTAGAAAGTGAGAAGCTTTTATTGAATTGGAGTGTTGGCCAAACAAGAGATGGAATTATTCTGACACATGAGGTGGAATGTCCTAATATTTCCAGGATTTGTTAAACTTGTTGTGAAAGGTAAAATGTCATAGAAAATACTGACTTGGGAATCAAGTTCTCAGAAATTTCACCAACTAGGAAATCTTCTGCTAACATTTTTATGTATTGAGATGATGGTTGGCTATTTCAAAACATGATGTTGGCCTTAAAGGCAAACATTTTCTACCAGATTGGATTATTTTGTCCAAAAGTACTGTGCTTAGAATTAGATAGCTCAGTGGTAGAGCTTTTCCGACGATGCCTGAGACCCTAGCCTCATTTCTTCACAGTACAAAAAACAAACGAAACCAAAAACAAAAACATTCTGCTTATGATCTTACAATTATGATATCAAAATAAAAATTTTAGTAGAGGAATGGTAAAAATACTGTATCTCCTCCTGAAATGACTAATTTGATGAGGAGGGTTATTTGGAGAAGTCCTGGAGTGCTTGCAACTCTATTGGTCTCATGCTTTTCTATTCATACGTCCTGGTTCCCAGCTGTCTTTCTTGGTATTTATTCTGTCTCTTGAAGAAATCAGCAAGATAAGAGGCATAATATTGCACTTTTAGGTCTTTTTTTCTAGTTATTTCCCTATGACAGTATCCGCCTCACACAATTTTGTTGAAATGAAGAGTCAAATAATACAGATTTTCATAACATCTATGTAAAGTAAGTAGATTTTGGTACAATCTGACTGGATTTTAAGTCCATGCTGTATGATTCAACGAAGTCATTTAGCCTTGGCCTCCACAGCAATTTCCACCTCTGGGGACTATGTGAATTTAAAAATAATGATATATATGCATATGGTGCCTGCTATATTGTACCTGTTATATTCCACATCATGTAGAAATTAGTCATCCTATTTTTAGTATTCGTGGCATTTATGTTACGGCTTCGTTTCCGCTTTTGGGAGTTATCCTCCAGGGAACACGGTGTCTCTTTCTTTCCTGTTGTTTTAAATGTTGTAGTTTTAAGTTCATTCCCACGCTCCCATCCCAGGTTTTTTGTACCTGAGAGCTGGGGCTGCAAGAACCCTGACATTTCCCACCAGGGCAGCTCAGGCGTCACTTTTGGAAGGCTCCTATCAGGAGACCCAGGCTTGTGTGCCTGGCGTTCCTGTCTCAAGTTTTTCTTCAGAAGAAAAAACAGATCAAAATGTCAGGAATTTCCATGTGAAGCTCAGCCTTGCCGTTTCCAGGTTACACCCAACCCTTCCATGTAATCTATGTGCTTTGAATGGCTTCCAGAGCTATTCAATTTATTCACTTAGACAGCTTACCTCCTTAAATAGCTAGGTTGCCCAGGGAGAGCTTGAACTTGTGACCCTCCTGCCTCAGCTTCAGGATGGTGTTCTTCGTAATCGATTATTTGTTTGCAATTATATTTTTAAACTAACATTCTCTTAAAAGTGATAGCTGGGCTGGGGAGACTGCTCAATGGCATAAGCAGCCGCCTGACAAGCACAAGGTCCTGAGTTTGATCTTTGGTTAACCCCCACCCTAAAAAGGTGATTCACTTTACTTCTTAAAATTAGCTAAAAATTGGAAATACTTTATAATTTTGTTTTTAAAGAAAAATGTGTAATTATGGTATTGCCCAACTAGTTGATTTGGCTCATATTTCTAGTGGATGTTACTCAGGATATTCTCATGTAAATATGTTTGATGTTATAACTTCTTCTAAGCGGACACTATCAATTTTGGGTATAGTATTTGTCAGAATCCTATAGCTACCCTAGGAGTGCTGAAGAACTGGCCCACATTGGCCCCATTACCCCATCACTGAGGTGCCGTGGGCAGAAGAGAAAAACAAATACATTTATGTATCACACCCTGAAACACACCGTGAGCAAAACTTTCCATCCCGTCGTGAGTTGCCAGCACCCCTTCTCTGTGTTCCAAACTCAATGTGAAGTTCGAAGATAAGCAAAAGTTGGCAGAAGAAGACTGAGTTTGTAATTGGCTTGTTTTACTGTTTTGTGTAGTTTTTCATAGTTCACTTTAGTGATAACTGTTATAGTTTACAACTGCAAATTCACTGCAAATATCTTTCATATGTATGATTTATACTTACCTTTGTGTTTGTACTAGTCTATGCCAAGTCTGTTGTTTAAGGTTTAAGCTTTGATAAATAAAGTAAAGATCATTAATTCCTACCCTCTGCTGAATTTCTACTTAGTTCTCTAATTCATTTAGACAGTGCCTCACTAAGTTGCCTGGAGAAAGCTCTAACGGGCTTTCTCCTGCCTCCTTCCTCAGCCTGGAGTAAGTTACACTGACTTAACAGATAGTAGCATTGACCTCTACAATTGTGGCTGACTTCAGAAAGCCTTATTTATTGGTTCTGTCTTATTTTTAAAAGGGAATATTTAAGATGAATGTGAACCTCAAAATTTTTGTGACAAACAAGAGCATGAGAATTTCCCTGATATCTTCCTGAGCCAGATACAATGCTAAGCACTTCACAGAAATAATTGTTTAATAGTCCCAAGAATCCCAGAAGGTAGATGGTGGTCATTTTTCTGAGGAGATCATTTTCTGATAAGCTGGAGGAGTTTATGAGCAACTTGCTGAAAGTGATTTTGGGAGCGAAGGGTGGTGCTCAGCTTCCAACCCAAGATGAAATGGTCTAAAAAGGGTGTGGGCAGGCAGCTTCACTACAGTTGGAGTAGAAGGACTTTTGTATTTGATGAATGTCTGGTATAGTGAAATCTTACCTTTGGTCCTACACTAAATGTAGCAGTGTTGTATTCACTTATCTAATGGCCTTTGAAGAACACTGGAAATGTTCAGTAGCTTAGCAAGCAACTGTACCACAATTGTAATGCAACCTTATTCTTCCCCCTTTATCCACTAAAACCATTTAATTTAGGAACATGTGTAGCAAAGACTGTTGAAATGTTCTTGGAAACTGCTAACATTGTAAGGCAAACATGAGTACCTTCAAATGTTTAGCTTTTTTTTCCCCTTGCGTTATAAATAACACATTTATATTGTAGTATTATAAATAGTATTATATATAGAAATTAAAAAGGTAAATCTACATGTCTGGGTTTACCATATTTTTATTTACTGAATTTGAGTTGGTTATACTGTGGGATGATATGATCAGTAGGTAACTACATTCTAAAAGTCAGATTACAAATTTACACTAGTAACATTGATGCAAATGTATTATTGTCAAAGAAAATCTTCATAGTTTCAAAATTAGTTTTAGTCATCAGTTTGGATTTAGTATTATTTTAATGTTAAGCTGCTGTGATATTCATTGAAAAATATTTTTAAATGTACATATGTTTAAAGCTCAGGATTTAGGAAATTTAGGTTTTAAAGTATTTCTTATAATCTAAAAGATTGTTTAGTAATTTAACAGGTGTGTAAATTTTATTTTACATAACAAAATAGTATCTTTTAAATATTTTATTAGACTATTTAATCATAATTTTATAAAGATACTGTTATCCAGTCAGTTTTATTCATGTCTTATTTCTTTTTCTTTTTCTTTTTTTTTTTTTTTGCGGTTCTGGGGATTGAACTCAGGACCTTGCACTTGCCAGGCAAGTGCTTACTCTACTGAGCTATCTCCCCCACCCTGTTTTATTTCTTGAGTTCAATCTAAAATTGAATATTTTTAAACAACATAAAATGCTTTAACATGCCATGAAATATTTAGTCTATGTTGAATTCTTTCCAAATATACTTTTGAATTTTCACATATTTATGGTAAGATTAAAATTATTTTCTTTTGTTTTGCATTATCTACTTGTCACCTTCCGTTGGCCCATACCTGTCAGCACGCCCACATGCTGTTACGCCTCCCCAGCCCCCCAAATCAAAACAACCTCGCTAACCTTTCTTGTGATTCACCTTCCTCTCTGGCCAGCTACCACCTACTTCTCTGCTTCTCTGTGTAGTGATTTTCCTGGAACATGTTGCTAACACCGGTTCCCTTTACTATTATCTTCCCACATTCTGTTGAGGCCTGGGCAAAGACTAAGCCCATCTCACCTGCTCCTTTGCTCGCTGCCTTCATTCCTGCTCCTGCCTAGTCTCAGAGGGCAGCTGGTGAATCCTGGGGAGTTCAGGTCAGATCCTGCTACTGCCCTGTTTCAACGCCTCTGGTGGTTCCGCACTTAAAAAACTAATCTAAGCTTTCCCCTTTCCAATCTGCATACTTGCCACTTCTCTCTACTCATACTTCTCTCACCACCTCTCCTATTTCTGGGATCTGCACACGGCCTTGACTCTTGGCTCTTGTTTCCTTTATTTAAACTTCTCTTGCTTCAGCTACTCTCACGATGTGCTCCTTTTTGGGGCCGTCCAGGCTGTGGACCTCTCGCGTCTCACTTCGTGCCTTCATGTCACCACTCTGATTTCAGTCATCAATGCTACAAAGTGGCTGTGGGCTCTGAACTCACTTTCCATTCCACGTCAGCCTTGTCCATAGACAGAGCTGTGTGCAGTGTAATCAGGCAGTGACTTTGTAAGGAGGAAAGAGTGCTTCAAGGAAAAGCTGGATGTACGTGGGCTCCTGGGCAGTGGCAGATAACTGAAAGGAATGGAACGGGAAGACAGGGAACAAGAAAACCTTAGGAAAAGGTAGGTAACGGGACTCAGTCATGAGAACAAAGCTCGCAGATCTGTGGATCTCAGATTACTTCCCACAGGAAAGCATCACCAGCAGAGGAGTGGAAGAAGCAGATTGGTGGGTGACATGCCCAGAGCCACGCTCCTTGGCCAGATCAGTACTACGCCAGCAGCCCGAAAGACTGGCCGTGAAGAGCAGGCTGCGAATGAGCCAACAGTGTGTACTCGCTTTCACCAAAGCTATGCTGCCTACTTCGCCATGCTGACCACCTGACGGGACAGGGGTAGCACAGCCCGGCAGGGGCACCCTCCCAAGCCTGTTTGTGACATGCTGACTATATTACTCTCCTTTTCTCCCAAAAGACCAGATATTCCTTGTTACTCAGGCTGAGTTCCCTTCTAAGTACGGCCTTCGCCTTTTCTTTCCAAAGTGCCTTTGCAAACACCATGCCCTCAGAACTTACAGCTTGTTGCCGAGGACTCCACAAGGTATTGTCTCCAAATGAGAAAACAATTTCATCACAAGAAAGTTGTGCTAAAATGGGCACATGACCAAGAAACCTTTGTCACTCTGAAACATCTGGCCAGCCAGGATGATGGCAGAAGCCCACTCAGGACCCTGCTCAGATGCCAGCTAGGAACAACCTGCTGTCCTCCATTGCATGGCTCATGCCCTGACCCAGGGACAGACATATTCTGCTGTTTCCTTTTGCAAAGAATGCCTGGAACTGGAAACAAAGACTTGTGCCTTTTCACCATTCTTCCCACTTACCCTGGCACAGTTTATGCCATCTTCATTTTTAGGTTATGCTGGATTTGTGGTCTGAGTTTCCAGGTTAAAAAAAAAAATTGCTTTTCCCAGAGACCATACTATGGACTGTAAACTGAGCTGAAGTATCACTATTCCTTATTAATTTGAACTCAGCAAGCTCGGTCAGTATTCTGTGAGAGAGAATCAGTTCTGCCTATGGTGAAAGAGTGATGCTTTTGGCAGATAGCAGGCAAATGTCTGGGATTCCAGGTATTTGTAGGGGTATCACATGACTTCCATGTTCAGTGATAGCTACCAGCAGGTCATTGCAGCCACCACAAGCTAACAAGGGCAAGGCAATCAGGGGTTCAGATCCTCAGAGAAAAAGGCCAGTGACATCGCATTAGCAGGAGTGCTACTAAGGATAAGGAAAATCTACAAGTATGATAGATGACAGAAAAGGGGCATAGCAAGTACGAATTAGAGCCTCGGGGCTAGTTACAGCAGTGTGGCCTAGAGCTCATCTTGCACTTCATCTTTAGCAGAGCTCTCCATTGACCACCACCTTGAAGGCCTAGTGATGGATTTTGCTTACAATGAAGGGCATAAGCAGATGTGTGGTCTAGGTGGTGGGCTCTCAGGTGTCTTTTATGCTCAGACTCACTCCTTCTGATCCATAATTCTAGCCAAAGTGGTGGAAAATAGCTCCCTGGGCTCTTTGATCCAATCTATGCTTATTGCTTGAAATTCTCACAATGTCTATTAGCAATGGAAGGTCTTCTCTGATAAGTGACTTAAGACATAGGAACTCAAACTTGCAAGAAAAGTTATTCCCTGCATTGCCATTGATTCTTTGACCTGGAGAGGCTTTCTGTACTTTCCTTAGTAATCCCTAGCAAAATTGAGCCCCAGGTATTCTCAGTGGTGCCCTGTTCTCTCTCTCTCTCTGTCTCTATCTCTGTCTCTGTCTCTGTCTGTCTGTCTGTCTGTCTGTCTGTCTCTCTCTCTCTCTCTCTCTCTCCCCCTCCCTCTCTCTCTTTCTCTCTCTCCATTTCTCCCTTTCTCAGTCTCTATACCTCCATCTTTTTCCTTCATTCCTTTCTCTCCTTCTCCCTCTGCCTCTCCCTCTCTTCTCTCTCTCTTGCTTTCTTGCATTCTCCCTCTCTTTCCCTTGTCTGCCTCTTGCAGTACTACAAATTCAACCGATGCTTTTTTATTTTGAAACAGGCTCTCACGAAATCTCTGAGCCACCTAGGCTGGGTTCCAGTTTGCAATCCTTCTGTCTTAGCCCCTCAGAATGCTGAGATTAGAGGCTTGCGCTACCACAGCATCAAGCCTCACCTTTGCTTTCAAGGTTTAGCTACCTTTGTCCCTAAGGGATTATTGCCTAAATAAATTATCTGCTTGAAGACTCTGCTTTAAAGATGTAAACCCCATCCCTTATGAAAAGAGTCCCTCTCCTTCTTTCTTTCTAGTCTTTCAGCTTTTTGAAAAAATAACAGTTTTCCTTATCATGTATGCCACATGATATATTAGTATATGTCCTAATATAATATTTTCATGAATGGATGTATTAAAAAAGTCAATTCTTATGCTTCCAGAGCAGATTATAACCACAGAGGTAAATATGAAGTGTGCTAACTGTTAACTGTTCACTATTATTTATGTGTTAAGTGATTTAATAATGAATTATAATTGTTAAATCTTTGAAAACAGAATTCTATGAATACTAATGAACTTTTCTTACTCTTCCAGGTTTTTCACAAGCAAACCAGTTTAACTATGGAGTTGATAACGCTGAGTTGGGAAACAGCGTGCAATTAGTTTCTTCTCTCCGGTCAATTACTTGTGATGTAGAAAAAGATTCAAGTCATTCAACTCAAATTACATGCTATACTAGGTCTGTTTTAAAGAATGATTAATGATATCATGTTCATCATGTCAGAAATCAGTTACACTTGTTGGTATTTTAATCATTTTATTATTCTTCCTGTTAGAAGAATATTTTTCTCCGTACTAGTTATTTTTAACTGCATGATTTTTGGACTATTTCAGACTTTTATTATATTCAATTGTAGTGCTTTTTCACATAGTTGACATGATAGAAGTACATTCCATATTTTTCTCATGCTATTAGACCACTATTAAATTATAATGATCTCTCTCAAAATACTAAAACGATGTGTTTTCTGTCCAGTTTGATTAGTTTTGTTCACGATCTTCATACTATTATAAAGATTAAAGATGATCATTTTGCTTAGTGACATTGAAAGTTCTTTGTTATCAGCCCAAATTGATGCATGTTCTTACAACTTAGGAAACATATTTTAAATTGTTTCCAATTGTGACTCTCAACATGAACCTTAGAGACAGGCAGCTCATATCCCAAAGCCTTTCAAATGCTGTAGGCTTGCTGGCTAATGTAAGCAGCAAAAGCTTCCTAAGTGGGGAAACTTGATTAACTTGAGTTTTAAAATAGCTGCAATAGGGGTTGGCCAAATAGCTCAGAGGATTAAAGCACCTGCAAGCAGGCGCAGGGGCCAGGGGTTGGATCCCTGGGCCTGCGTGCCTATAATCCCAGATCTTGGGAGGCTGTATATAGGTGGATCACTACGAGTCTGATCTAGTAGTGAGATCCTGAACACCCTGTAGACCCTTTCTTAAAATATAAAAAATGAATAAATAGATAAAATAGCTGAAATAACCGAATGTACTAAAATGACAGTACTATTTTAAATGACAATTATTGCTCTCTGTTATTGAATTTGTTGTCCTTTTTAAATAAGCATGAATCTGCAGAGTCAGGGGAGGCCCTTGCCTATGCACATGTTGTTAGATTTGCAATATAGTTTGGCTCAGGACAGACGTTGTCTTTCATAATATAAAATGAAATTTAATGGTACACCCATTAGAATTTTATGTAACTTTATTTTTTAAAATGATATGGTATGGGCCAGTATTTTCTTTAATGTATGAAATAAAAGTTATTACGTTCCTCATGCATTCTGCATTTGCCTTCCAGAGCAATGCCAGAAGATTCCTACGCAGTTCGGGTCAGTGTAGATGGAGTCCCTGTTGCAGAAAACAACACCTGCAAGGGTCACATCAATAGCTGGGCTTGCAGCTTCAATGTATGTGGGTCCTCCTCTTAATTCACCTATAATCAAGATTTTATAATTATTTTTAAATTGTACAGACTCTTATCTCTTTCCATATTAAAAATATAGTAGTATGCAGCTAGGAATACTTTCCCCAGTATTCCCTAATAATTGAGCCTCATTTGTTTCTGCTTTCTTCCTCCCTCCTTTAAATTTTATTAATGAATGATACCTTCTAACTTTTCTTGCTTATACTTTTTCTTCCTCAATTCCTGTTCTTAGTTCGAGTCTTCCTTTTGCTATTTTCCTATAGGATCCAACACTTCATTTTTAGTAAGAGCTACTCTTCCTTTCTATATACTTTCTAATGTAAAGGCCTGCATGTAACATAGGAGCCACTCAGAGTTCCATTGCCCTCAGTGGAGGTATCTGTGAAAATCCATTGCCTTCTAAGCATCATCACAGGTATCTTAAGAATTGTATTTAGGTCTTGGGCCATCAGCTATGAAAGACTATAATGTTCCAGTCTAAGACGAACCTTTGAAGAAAGCAGTTATGACTTCTGTCCTTAAAAAGTCATTGATTCCCACATATACTGCCCAGTAAGATTCCCAGTGCCTCTGGCCCCCTCTTCTCATTGGCCTCAGAGCCAACTTTTATATTCTCATGTGTCACACATAAATGGTCCCCAAACAACCTAAATCCAGCCCTACCAAGTTGGGCTTCTTAGATTCCTCATTAAGCTCGTATTTTCTTTTCTTTTCTTTTTTTTTTTTTTTCTTTTTGGTGACTCAGGTTGCCTATATGGCAGGTGGAGCTGGGAACCGAACCGCGATATCCTGCTCCTGACTGCCTTTGCATGAGCAAGTGCTTAAACAACTGAAGCCTACATTTTCTCTGACTGTTTCTCTCCACCTCAAGCTTGAAACTCATTGCCACCCTTAGTTTCTTGCTAGCCTTCACTTTCAGCCCCACAACAGTTCAGAAGCCACACTGTCTTTGCTCTCCAGCTCATCCTCCTGGCTTCTATCCTACATGGCCTTCGTCTTCGTTTGTTATAATATCCTCCTGATATGTTTCACTGCCCTTCATAACTGCTTTGCTCAGTGTGACCCTTCAAAACTAGGAATACTGTTGTCTCTCCCTGCTTAGTTGTCCTCCCTCTCCCAGGGGTCTTAAGTTTTCTTCACTGTGTCAAGGTTAGGAGCCACATCAGCTCCTAGCAGTGGCTTCTAACCTTCTTCCTGACCAAGGATTCATAAGACTTACTCAGTTTTTTAATGAACTTTCTCATCACTCATGCCCCTTAACATTTCCCCAAGCAGAGAGAAGAGAACCTTCTACTGCGTTCTTCAGTTGTAAAATTGCTTAATGCGTGGTTTGGAGTTCAAAGACAGGCTCCTTCATTTTCTAGCTGTGACATGGGCAGAATGAAACTGGTTGCCTGTAAAATGGAGATAAGCAAAATGGAGACTATGCATATCATGGTTGTAAGAATTAGATGATGTAAAATTAATGAACTGATCAGTCAGAGCCTGGTGTATAGTAAGTGCTCATTGTAGTTTACATTTTTTTTTATATCTGTTTAGTCCATGTCTTGCTATCTTAGCAGGTAGTTCATTGTGCAGTGATTATTTTTTTAATGTGTTGCTCTGTGCTAAGGGGTTTATATAACTTTATGTTTCTAAGAATAAGTATGAAATCTAGCACTTAACAGAAGCACAGGCATATTTTCTGAATGATTTGCGTTCTTTCCTTAAGCTAAAACTGAATAAAAATTTAATATCAAGCAATGTAAAGAAGCAATTAAATCTGCTTACATTTTCTTAATATTTTATAAATTACTCAGTATTATTAGTATATGATTGATAGCATTATTAATATGATTATAAATAATATTTTCTTAATAAGTCCTATGTTATTGGGTTGTGCTCCGAAAACATAATCCACAATGTTAACAACTATTTAACAAAGTCATACTTGAACATAATTTAAAACTGAACCAGGAGCCGGGAGATGGCTCAGTAGAATAAGTGCTTCTTTGGCAAGCACAAGGGGCTGAATTCAATTCCCGGTTCTGCAAAAAAAAAAAAAAAAAAAACAACAACTGAACCAGGTCTACAAGTCTTATTAACAATAATAACTCTTTGACCACTCACCCTATCTCATTTTCATTCTCTAGAGCTATGTATTTTGATATTCCCAAATAACGTTCTTATTAAAGAGGAGACTTAGTGGCCAGGTCAGCTGTGGGGCTGTTTTGCTCTGGACAGTTGCTCCCTGTACGCTGCATGGCAGAGTGTCACCCTGGACAGCCTCTCGGGAGTTTTCCAGGTGCTTTCGTCTTCTCTCCTGTTGCCACTTACTTCCTGAATCCTGTGTCTTCCTGTTTCTGGATTATTCCTTTATATTGCTGAAGTGTTCTTAGAAAATAAAATATTACTAAGTTAAACTAGAACCCTTTCCATATTCTAACTTCCATGTCATGATCAAATTTAGTTGAGAGTTTAGTTGGGTATAGATGCTAGTTTGGAAATAAATTTCAGGATTTATTTATTTCAGCCTTTTGGAATCATGTCTCTATTTTCTCTTGGCCTCAGGTATCTTAAACTATTGAAAGATTAGCTTTTGGAAAGTTTCCCATTTTCTATTGATCATTTATAAAGCACAAATATCTATGTCACAGCAATGTTAAAGTGATATATAAGTTGCCAACTGTACACTCTCACGTTTTGTCCTTATCAAGGACTAATAAAGATTTTGATTAGTTGTCCTGCACAGCTATAATCCTAGCACTCTGGGAGGCTGAGGCAGGAGGATGGCAAGTTTGAGCCTAGCCTAGGTATAGTGATTCCCTGTCTCAAAATAGAAATTTAAAACAAGACCTGAGGATGTAGCTCAGGATAGAGGCCCTGGGTTCAATCCCTGTTCCACCCAAACATTGCACACATTATTTAATGTGTGTAGTTTAAAGCCCTGGACAAAGTTATATATTCATAATCTCCATTTTTCATGCTATTTTCTAGTTTTGTCTTTAACACTGTACTTTGTATCATTAGTCTTCATTGCTGCTATACTTAATTCTCAGAATCATCTTTTTTTTTAGAAAAAGAAATTTGCCCCATGTTCATTTCTTTTGTGATTTGTACAGATTATACAACAAACTGAAAATCTGTTTATACTTTAGCTCCTTGAAATATAATAAGAACTAATACTTAACATATACTCTTCAAATATTTTGTTACAGAGCTTATAAAGGTGAGCATATAGTGACTTAAAACAACTGATTCACACACATGTTGATGATTCCCGTTACTCTTGTCAGCTTTGCTGTATGAGTGACACTTTGCCCAAAGTCCTTATGATGTCTTGTTCTCTACTGCATTACACTGAGTCTTCATTAAACATTTGTCTTCTCCTTACCATTCTAAAATGTGAAACAGTAACTCTAAGGTGCTACTGAGCCTCTTATTTCCAAGTTTCATCTTTTTTTTTCAATCTAAGAAATCTGTTCTATTGCTTTTAAGAAGAAATGCAGGCATCTCTCCTAACGAGCCGGAGGGCCAGCTGACAGTTACTGAGAGTCTGCTTCATGCTTCCTACTTTGCTTGTGTTCTTTTCATGTTGATGCAGAAGCTCCTGACCACATGTCTAAGAACATTCAATTATAACGTAGAAGTGTTGTGCATGTTTTTATGTTTTCTGCAGCGTTTTTGTGTTTCTAGAAATAAATTCCTAATCTCTTCTGGCCCATGCATTTTTCCTCTATTATTTGTTCCAAGTGTAGGTTATTTTCTGAATGCACGTTGGTGACTCAGGGTTCTTCGTTCCATCGTCTCTGCTCTCCACGTATTCACTGTTGATTTCATCTTATTAACATGCAGTGTATTCCCATTTGCAATGCTCATTGCTCATTTTACCTTTTAAAAAGAAGTTGGTGTATATCTATTCATGTAGTAGTAGCTAGCGAGGAATATAGCTTTTACCATATATCAGGTGGTGTTCAAAGTGTTTTATGACTCTTAGCTCTTAATTAGCAACCAATCTAATAGCTGGGTACTAAGAGTATCTCTCTTTTATGTATGATAAAACTGATACACATAAAAATTATATTGCAGATTTTACAAAGGTTCAGATTTAGGGAGTAGTCAGTCACAAATTTCACTCTGGACAGCTTATTCCAGAATCTGGGCCATAACTAATGCTTTTCTACCTCATATATACTTGAGAACTCCTACAAGGTAGGTGCTAGATTTTTACTTGCTGAAGTAACAAATTATCAAATTAGTGATTTAGAGCACCATAGATTTATTATGTTAGAGTTCTGTAGATTAGAAGTCTGACATGGGACTCAGTGGCCTAAGAATCACCGTGTGGTGGAGGTGCTGCATTTCTGCAGGGCCAGGGGAAAATCTGGGGTCCTGGTCTTTTCCTTGTCTCAGAGTCAGCCAGGCAGTCGAGTTCTTATCACCCACATCCCCTGCACTGTCTTTCCTATCACATCCCCTTCTCTGATTCTGATTTCTTTTCTCGACTTATACAGGTCCTCGTGAATACACGGGGCCTATCAGAAAAGTCTAAGAAACCCTTCCAATTTTAAGGTTAGCTATTTAGCTCTGTTAATTGGGGCTGCAACTGTACGCATGCGCTCTACACGTTGGTAGAAAGTAGCACTTAGGCGTCTTTGGGAGGCCATTATTCTGTCAACTGCAGACATTAGCATTTCCATCACATAGGGGCCTCCCCGGAGTCTGTGCTTTCCCAGTTCTCATCCGGGGCCACAGTTCTTAAGAATTAGAATTGCATTGCTCCAGAACATCATCATCACTACCTTGGCTATTAAAACTTACCATTCTGGGCTTTTTCTACGTTTTCTGTGATTA